AAGCAATTAAGATGGAAGCAGGCAGAGCCTGAAGAGGTACAGAGCCAGGCAGCAAATGCTCCCTTCTGATCACTGAATCTTGGAATGTTGATTTCTACCATTCCACCACATTGTTACGGCAAAAGTAGCACAAGAACACAGGCTCATCATAAATATTCAAGCAATTAAAAAGTATGTAGAGTAAAAAGAGGAAGAAACCGTTGACTCCTCTCTCTCACTCTCTCTCCCAAATATACAGGCATATAATGAGATTATAACAAAAATTATTCACTAGCTTTTTTCTTACCAATACCCCTCCCCCTTATTTTTTGAGATGGTGTCTTGCTATGCTGCCTAGGCTGGCCTCAACCCTAGGCTGAAGTGATCTCCTCCTTCAGCCTCCTGAAGTAGCTGGGATTACAGGTGTACACCACTGAGCTTGACAACAATATCTCCTTCTACAGTCTAAATAATATTCCTTATTACAGAGGCAACAATTAATTATAATAGCCATCAAACCATGACCATTTAGTTTGCTTTCAACTTCATAATCATAAAATAACATTTTTTCAGCTTACCTACTTGCCTGTGAGTAAATAGAATTTTAAAATTTTTATTTAATTCTATTTTATGTGTATGAGTGTTTTGACTGCATGTACATAAGTGCACCTGTGTCATGCACTACCCATGGGAGTCAGAAGAGGGCACTGAATCCCCTGGAACTGGAGTTATAGATGGCTGTTTACCCACCATGTGATTGCTGGGAATTGAACCCTGGTCTTCTGTAAAAGTAGCCAGTAATCTTAATCTCTGAGCCATCTCTCTAGCCCCTATGAGTAAATAATTTTAAAGGAGAGATTTGTTGAAAATCACTAGACCTGAATCACTAGACATGATGACACTGGTAAATTGCCCCAAGAAGTATTCTATAAACCCTACCATCAAGGGAGAAGAAACATGCATGCATCTCCACACTCCCAGAGTGATATTAAAGTATAGATTACACTCCAATTACCCAACAGGGAAACTTTTAGAATGTTCCGTTTCTTGGTTAACAATGAAGACGAGCATTTGTTAATACATTCATAGGCTAGTTGTGTTCTCTTAGGTATAAATTACTTTTATTATAAATTTTACATACCTTTTCTATTGGGTTGTTTATTTACCTCACCAGTTTGTAGAACTGAACACAATTCTGTGGTTTTCTATAGGTCTTATACATAATTTTGGCTTGTATCTTCATTCCCAAGGCACATCTGTGAATATGTGAACTGTCACTGCAGCCCTGGTTTTGGAATGGAGGACAGATGTCAGAGAGAAGACAGCTAACATAAAAACAAACCAAGGTAAGCAATTCCAGAGGGAACCTGTCTTCAGTCTGTCTGAAGGGTCAAGGTGGTGGTACATTAATAAAATGTGAAGACTGAAAGTTTATTCCTTACTCACTGTGTGACCTTGGGCACATTATTTAACTACCTGAGGCTCAGTTTCTTTTATAAAAAGAGAGAAGTAATGACAATTATTTCATAGAAGATTATTGTGTAGAACCACTGAGTAAAGTCATGAAAGGAGCTTTCTTCATGCCTTGGCACTTAATGTTTGAACAGTGAGTAGTTTACTGTGTGACTCCAATAAAATCATCTACGCAGGTGCCTTTTGATTTGAAAGGGTGATTAGAAACGACTACAAACACTGGGGCTGGACAGATGGCTCTGAGGTTAAGAGTGCTGGCTATTTTTGCAGAGGAATTGGGTTGGATTCCCAGCACTGACTTGGAGGCGATCAATCACCAATAATTCCAGTTTCAGGGGATCTAATGCCCCCTTTTGGCCTCCATGGGCATTGCATGCACATGGGTGCACTTATGCATGTGCAGGCAAAACACTCATACATAAAATTAAAATAAATAAACCAAAAAAAATAAATAAAAACCAGAAAGAAAGAGAAGACTATGAACACATAACTTGATGTTGGTGTATCACATTACACAGTTTACATAATTATCTGGCAGTCTGGGAAGTATTCAAGAGGTCCCCTCCTGAGTTTGGAATTTGGAGTCTACTCAGAGAATCAGGGCTCCTCCTGCTTTTCCTGACAAACAAATAAGGACAGAGGCTGGAACAGAGGGGAGAAATTTAGAACTAGGAGCAAAGTCCTGAGACAGTTCCAGTAAACAACTGTAGATGTGAAAGAAAGACTTTTCCTTACCATGGCTGGAAAAAAAGAACTTTTGATTCTAGAAAACTTCATAGGTGGAAAATTTTTACCCTGTAACTCGTATATAGATTCTTATGATCCATCAACAGGAGAAGTGTATTGCAAAGTGCCAAATAGTGGAAAAGAAGAGGTGAGTGTATTCACTTAGAAGAAACTAAAATGTATTCAGGGTGTTGGCAAATTATGAATGACTACTTTCTAAAAGTAAAGGGGGTTGAAGGAAGATGTAGAATTTTATCTTATAAGGTATCTTAGGATGGGCATGTATGAGACAGAATCAATCTCAGTTTACTATATACAGAAGAAGTTTGTTTCCTTTCCAGCTAAAGAACTGTGGGCACAGTTGTTTATATTTTTGTAATTTTCAAACATACTCTAATGGATATCTGGTACAAAGTATTATTCGTAAGAACTATCACTATGTCAAATGCATTCTTTTCTCAACCATTTGTCATCTGATTTATTATTAGCTCCATAGATTTATTTTTAAAAGCTTCAGTTGAAAACAAAAGAAATAGTCTGACTTTATTTTAAATCATCCTCTAATAAGCCTCATGTATCCAAAATACCTAATACATCAAAATCATTCGTTTGAATGATGAAGTTTAAAATCAAATTCCCAGTCTTTCATTAGATTTGACAAGTTTTACTCAGAGTACTTATTGGCTCACATACTTCCTTTTCCCCTTCCCTTTCGTTTTTTGTGATGAAGAATTAAGTTCACGTGGAGAATTTTATAAAATATTTGATATATATTTGATGAGTTATTAATTCCTGTACTGAGAATATAAAAGTTTCTGATGTGGTAAATGTGGCTGATATATGTATAGTTATCTAATGCTTCCTGGATAATTTATTCTTTCTAAGGCACAAAGAACTTGATTATCTAAAATATAATTGTATTCTTCCATAGATATACATTATATGCAACGATTTTCAAGATTTTTCTCCATTAAACTCCCCATTTGTCTTACATATTTAAAAAAAAAACTTTTGGCTTGTGTTCTAACATTTACAAACATTGCATAACTTGTTGGTTAAACTTATAACCTTCAATTTTGTTTTCTTCAAATGACCCAAGAGTTGAGAAATCTACTCTTGTCTTCCCACCTCCCACCAAATGTAGGCGATGATCATACTTCTTTAGAAAGTAGAATGAAACACATAATAGCACTTGTTACTGTATAATAAATACGTCTCTCATTTCTCAGCAAACCAACTCACAAATATTCTATGTGTTCTATAAAGGCCTTTGTTTAAGTTTGAAAGAAATGGTGACCATCCAGACCCGTGCAAAGGTCTTAAGAGTCACTCCTAGAAGATGCTACAGTGGTGTCTGCTGTTCTGCTTTGGTTGTGTGTTACTATTCATCAAATGGCTTACCTGGGACTTTACTCACAAGGAGGTTGTAACAATCTGGAAGTTAGGCTCACTGATCACCCTTATTGTACAGTGCTGACGCTTTTACCTCTGATGCTTAAGTCAGTGGGCACATGTACAGGTATGCAGACATATACAATGCCTGATGCAAGCACAGCTGGATGCATGTGCACATACCCATGCACACATAAGCATGTGTACACACACATGAACATACATATACATTCACATGCATATGCACATTGTAGCCCATTTACTTTGTAGCCCCATAGCCATATATGAACACAAACTGGGGTCACATTGCCAACTTTCAAAGACCAGCTCCACTCCTTGGTATCTGTGATGTTGATACGTAGCTGCACCTCTTCCTGCCTCAGCATCCTCATTTATAAAGATGATGATGCTACCTACTTCATAGGGTGTTTTTTGAGGATTAAATGGGCTAATGCATGTAAAGTCTATGGAGTAAAGCATTTTCTAAGGGTTAGCTTATGGAATGATACTCTACATAGTGGATTAATATGCATTCTATAGAACATTGGCATCAGACATGTGAAATAAGACATCTTAGAGAACACGGATAGTGTTGAGTGTTGTGAGTAGCTGAAGATCAGGGGTTTAATTGATTGCCACAGAAACATACTGTTCTCTGATTAATGGCAGCTTCCCCAAGGCTGCAGCTTGAGGTAGATGGAGGTCATTGAGGTCTTCATCCCTGCTTTATCCCATCCTCAGGTCCATATTAGAGATGCAAGTTTTGAGGTGAAGCTATCATTTTTCAGAAATTTCTAATTAAGATTCTTATAATTTTAACCTTTATGTTACTTTAGCTCAGCAGAAAGTGACTTTGTTCTTTAAGGTAACAAACTAAAAATGAAGGTCGGGTTTTCATGAGGGGCTAGCCTATGCTCAGGAATGTCAGATTGTCAGATCACATGACATAATAAGATGCTCCAAGTGTTAGAAGCACATGGAAAAGGATTCTGAGCTGAGGCTCAGAAGTGGCAGAGAACTATATGGGTTTTTTTTTTCCTGTTTAGCCCATATGATATATATTTTTAAATTTTAATTTATTATTTTTATTTTATGTGTATGAATGTATTACCTGCATGTGTATAAGTGCACATGTGTCATGAGATGCCGGTGGAGGTCAAAAGGCATTGGATTTTCCAGGAATTGGAGTTACAGATGGTTGTTGGAAGCTGCCATGTGGGTGCTGGGAGTCAAACCCAGGTCCTCAGTCAGTGCTTTTAACTGCTGAACCATCACTCCAGTCCCCAATGTGGTATTTTTTTAAAAGCTTTTTAATTGTTGAGCATGCTAGCACAAGTTTTTAATCTCAGCACTGGTGAGGCAGAGACAGGCGGGTCTTGGTCAAATAAAGGCCAGCCTGGTCTACCTAGTGAGTTCCAGGCCAGCTGGAGCTAAAGGGAGACTCTGTGTCAAAACAAAACAACACACACACACACACACACACACACACACACACACACACACACGTGCTTTTGTTAGTATGTATTAATTATGCATAATAAACTTAATTATAACATTTTTATAGATGTTATAATGTATTTTGATCACATTCACCCCATTATCCTTTCTTGTCCAATGATTCCCCTCCACTTTCCAACTAGTGCCCCTTCTATTTTCCCTTCTCCTCCTCTCCCTCCCTCTCCTTCTCCTCTTTCTCTTTTTTCACCCATTGATGAACCAGTGAGTTTAATTATGTTACTTATACAAACGTGAATAAGTGGGTTATTTACAGGAGGAGGGACAATTTACCAATGGTTCTGATTAGAAGTGTACATCTTGTGTGAGAGCAGACGGGTGAAATATGACCTGTGAGCCTAATCTGGAAATGACATTGTGTCACCATGGCCAGAAAGTCAGAGGGCAAAAAACCCTCACAGATACACTGCATGCATCATACTTTGACCCCATGAGGGCCCTCCTGCCTGTATGTTCTGTCCATTCTCATATATTATTAGGGAGACACTCCAAAACTGGATCCCATCCTTACTGTTCGAGTGTACATTCTTTTCTCTCCAATGAAGGGCTCTTTCATTTGGTAGGGACAGTTGTTATATCATAGCACATCACTTACTGGTTTTGGAATCCATGAAGATCTGGGTTTGAATCCTGATACTGTCACTTAGCTATGTTACCTTTGGTAAGTTAAACGGTCTTTCTGTGCCTCAGTTTACTCATCTGGGTTAAGGTTCAGATAGCTCTGCCCCCTCACCAACAGGATCCCAAGGACTTCTCTTGCTCCTGAGAAAAGGGAACCTAGCTGATAAGCACCTTGGTCTTTGAAGTCAAGAGATGTAGACTTTTCTCCACTGTTTGGCCAACACAGCAGGCTTCCCCTTTGATCTCTAAAGAGGACAGGTTTTAACAGTCCTGCTCTCCCACTTTCCCCCCCAACTTAAAAAAAAAATACATCTTCTCGCCTTCTACGGGAAGTAGAAGCCTCCCTTTTAAAAAGACCCTAGCTTAAAACCAGGGCAGACATTTTCCCTGCCTGGAAGGGAATCTGTCCCATGTGTTCCTTTGCTAATAAACCCTGTTTTGATGGAGTTTTATCTGTGCCTCGGTGCCTCATCATCCATTCGCTCGTTCTCCACCAACTTTTTACCTATCAGTCTGTAAAATGGCATACAATACTCAGGGCACAGAACTTCAAGAAGGGTTACTTTGTGGTTTTGATTATATTCCTTTAGATACATATTAGTCAATAAGTGGCTGATGGGGTTAGTCACCCCAAGTGTCAGTAACAGGTCCAAGATGTGATCTTACACAAAACTGTAGATTTAATACAACTCTACCATTTTATAAAGAGCTTTAGAGAATCAGTGCATCCAGACAAATTTCTTTTCCCACACAAGATTCAAAAAAAGTGCATTCTTTGGAAAATGGTTGAAAATGACTATCTTTTAAAATTCAGATCACTGGACCACCACATTTACAATACCTTGATTGAGACAGGGCATAATTTCTTTCCCCAAGCAACGATTTATACATTTAAATCTGTTTGAACTAAGCATCTGACCTACCTTAGAATTTTTATGAAAATCAGGCAGTCAAGAGACCAAGCATTTACTTGGAGAGCTGGAGAAGTCTCTTTATTTATACTAGTAGGCCCAGAGGGACTTATGTTCTGAAGTTCTGGACCCCAAGGTACAGAAGACCACAGTCTTTATGTTTCCCTACACCATATCTTAACTGTCAGAACATTGGTAGATTCAATTTGTAGCTTATGTGACCACCAGCACCTGTGTCTACATGTTAAGGCCACCAAAGATGTGTGTTTACAGAAACAGATATTAAGGGCAACATTCCTTTCAACAAGATTAATTGCTAGTGCCTTAGCAGGTAGGATAATTGCAAACTTGTTTTACCAGATCACTGTTGTATTCATTTCTCAAGATAGTTTTGAGGTCTTTGGTGTTCTTTATATTAGTTAGTATTCATAAAACTACTATACAGTGGGCACTATGTCTTAAAGCATAAAACCAGTTACTAACATTACATACATGGGTATATTTCTTTTCCTTTTCAGAATCATATGCTGTGACAAATAATGGCTGCAGCTCATGTTATTTGGGATGCTGCTTTTATTTTTCCCAGAGCCCTATTAGGCCTGCCTGGAGGGCTCAGGCCTCTGGGCCTCAGTTGTCTTGCCTATAAATAGGCACAACGAAAAGCTGCCATCCAGGAAGGCAGAAAGCAGCACTTCTTCACTCAGTACAGCTCTGCCGCTCCCTCAGGGCTGTACCACAGAGCAGCAACTTGCTCCTTTTATGGTAGAGCAGCACCAGTCAGTGGCCATTCATTCACCCATCAAAAGAGAGCTGGTCATTTGCAGTTTGGGGCTATGATGACTAAACTATAAACATTTATATATAGTTTTTTGCATAAAATAAGTGTTCATTTCTCCAAGATGAATGCCCAGGAGGGTGAAGTGCATGATTACGGCATGACTAGGATTTAAGAAACTGTCCCAGTCTGCCAGAGGAGCTGTGTCATTTCCCATTCCCGCAGCAGTGGGTGAGAGATCTCATATCTCTAGCTTCTCATCAGCATTTGGCACTGTCATGGTCTTGGTTTTTTTTCAAACTGCTGGTCTTGTGTGTCCTAGGCCAATGCTCTACCACTGAGCCACACCTCCAGCCCAGTATCTTTTAATCGTTCTTATTGATTTCATGCATGTCCCCTGAATGGCTAATGAATCAGACATCTTTTCACATACTTATTTCCCTTCCTTATACATCTTCCTTGGTGGTAGACACCCTGTGTGCATTTTCCAATTAAATTATCGGTGCCTTTGCTGTTGAGTGTTAAAAATTCTTTATGTCAGAATTCTTTGTCTACTTTGTCATTTGTAGGTATTTTCCCTTTCTTCACAGGTCACCTTTTGAAAGTTCTGAATAGTCATTATGTCTAGTCACAGTCAGATAAGCTGAGGAACAGTTGTTCTGGCACATGTGAGGTCCTCGGTTCCATCAGCTCAGGTTGGCTTGTTCATGCGAGCTGGGGTCATTCTTGGGCTTGTCCTTAGGCTTCTGGAAGTCAAACTAGAGTTCAGTCATGTGTCTCAGTACAGGGGTGTCTGAGTCAGCTTGCAGGCACTGAGTCTAGGTGCCTAAGAGAACCAACTGAAAGGTGGAAAGGTTTACTTAGATCACAGTTTCACAGGTTTTCGTCCATGGTCACATGCCTATCACTTTGAACTTGTGGCAACAACAGCACAGAACTCGATGGTACGAGCCTTTAGTAGAATTTGCCTCAGGGTTGTGTGAGCAAAGAGGAGAAGAGACTCTGTCTTTGTTTTTATGTTGTTTGCTGGTCACACAAACACATGTGTCATCCATTTTGTATTGTAGTTCAGCCCTGGGACATATTAAATAATTGAAATTAGCGTGAAAGTCAGGTATGAAGAAAGCTGTAGATTCTGGATGCTGCCAGTCTCCCAGAAGCAACAGTTCTAAGGCAACCTTCTCTGGTTTGCTTCTCAAAGATCGAAGCTGCAGTGGAAGCTGCCAGAGAGGCCTTTCCTTCCTGGTCATCCCGGAGCCCCCAGGAACGCTCCCTGGTCCTGAATCGCTTGGCTGATTTGCTGGAGCAGTCCCTGGAGGAGTTGGCCCAGGCAGAATCTAAAGACCAAGGTGAGAAGGGTCTCTGGCAAGATTTGCGTCTTTCAGGTCTTTTCTCTAACAAGGCTGGGGTTTGTGTGTAGGTGTGTCTTATTAAACACTTATGAAAACTGCAGTACAGTATGCAGATATCGGTCCTAGTAACCTCATTCTAGGTTGGCCAGAATACTGCTTGTCTTTTACTATAATGCATGGTGCTCAGGGCACCTACAATTATTGGTGCCATCCCTCCCGGAGTGCCAGGCTGGCCCACACATGTGCTCAGGACAACAGTCTGCTGTTGAGAAGTAGAGGCAAAATCATGCAAGGATGCAGACCAAGTCTTATGGCTGGTATGTTCCACCCCATTCTAAACAAAGTGAGCAGCTGAACCCAAAGCCAAAGGGCAGGGAAATACATTCTGTCCATTTTGTGGAAGGAACTGCAAAATCCACAGCAAAGGGTGTGGATATGAGAAGACAGAAGAAACTAGGGAAGGTCATGCGATTGTTCACCCATCATGAGCAGAGGATTCCACAGTAAAGTCAATTTAAAGAGCAGCTCCAGTTGGGTTATTTAGAAAGTTTTCTGATGTGTTGTCACTATCCCACAGTCTCTCAACATTTTCATTCCTCCCTAAAGGTCACAGTAATGGAGTAGGCATCTGTAAACTTCATAGTGTCTATTAGGAAGAGCTACATACTTTTAATATACATATGTTGTGCTGAAGTTAGGGGACAGCTTGAGTCTATGCTCTTGGAAAGAGACTGTTTCTTTGAGTCAGATGGGGTCCCATAACCCTGTGATTGCAGCACTCAAGAGGCAGGAGGCAGGAGGATTGTGATTTCCAGGATAGATTGGGTTACATAGTCATATACTATCTGAGAGAGAGAGAGTGGGAAAGAGAGCAAGAAAGAGAAGGAGAAGAAGACAAAGAAAGAGGAGGAGGGGAAGAAGAAGAAGAGGAGGAGGAGGAGGAGGGGGAAGGGGGAAGAGGAGGAGGAGGGGAGGAGGAGGAGGAGGAGAAGAAGAAGAAGAAGAAGGAAGGAGGAAAATGAAAAGAATGCAAAGGAAAGAAGAGAGAAGAAAAAGTTGCCTCTGCTGTTGTTCCAGTGGCAGTCTCCCTGCATCACTGAAAGGCACTTGAAAGCAGTCTAAGTAGGCTCATGCTCCTAATGCTCCATCCAGGAACCAGGATGGCCTGGCATAAGCTGGGTGAGCAAGTGGCACACACACAACATCCTGTGATGGGGGTTCTTACCAGCCTTCTGATGACTCCACCATGTGTTTGGGGGTATTTAGGATACCTCATAAATTTACACATGACAACACAAACAGATAACTCATTATTTCAGTCCCACTATTACAAAGCCTGTTGACACACCAGGGCTTGTGTAGGTGAAGTGGTGGCAGCTGGTGAATTCATGATGAAAGCTATGAAGTCTTCTGCCCACAGAGCAAAGATGACATGGCTCCACTTTAGCCACCGGACCCAACAATCACAACGTCACACTTAAGTGTTTCACAGCTTTATCTAACCATGGTCATCTCTATGTGGTGAAAGAATACCTACCTTGGGCTGGAAGGAACGGAAGTTAGGGCAGTGTGAGTCAGGATAGGGATGTGGTGACAGCTGATGGACAGAGGTCAGCGCTAACTCAACCTGAAACACACTTGCAGTGTTTTATGCTGTTTACTTCCTACAGGGAAAACCCTAACACTGGCCAGGACCATGGACATTCCTCGGTCTGCACAGAACTTTCGGTTCTTTGCTTCCTCCATCTTGCACCACGTGACTGAATGCACACAGATGGATCACCTGAGCTGCATGCACTACACTGTGCGCACCCCTGTGGGAATTGGTAGGTGCTGCTCAGGGAAAGCCTGTGTCACAGAGTTGTTTGCAAAACTGTAGAACTGATCACAAAGAACTGACTAAGAAAAAGAAAGTAGATTTTTCCACTTTTATTGAAAATACATTGGTTTCAAAATTCAGTTTCTAGTTTATTTTTGTTGTGTCAAATTCTCTACTTCTTCTTGGGAAAGTATTTTGGAAAATCACAGGGAAAAGAGTGATGCTAAGAGGAAATTAAAATGCCAGGAAATTTTATGTTATTTATAATTGAAACAAGAAAACAACAAATTCAGAGTGTAGTGATTTAGGCTTTAGGTTTGCACGCTTCTGTACTCCGGAAAGCTGGGATTAATAACTCAATTTTATCTTTAAATGTTTCAACCATATAATAAAATTGAGTAAAGTAAAAGTGTGCAGTTGAGTTGGCTGTGGTGGCTCTTTTCTGTCATCGTAGCCCTTGGGAGGTAGAGGCAGGAGGATCAAGAGTCCAGGGTCATCCTGGGCTACATAGTGAGTTCAGAGTCAGCCTGGATGGCATGACATTCTGTCTCAACAAGCCAATAGATATATACGTGCATGGCTCTTCAGGTAGTGCAAGGCATCTTGTAAATAAGCTTGGACTGAAAGTTAGCGTCTCCTTTTTCTCTTGCATTTTCATAACCGAGTAATTGTTTGCAATGACTAAAATCTACCACTAGATGGCACAGCTTCCCCAGAGAAGAAACACAATATTTTTACTAGGTACATATAAAAAGAAAGCAAATGAGACATTTTACTCCCTCAATTCCTTCAACCCTCTAGAAATCAACTTTCAAGGCATTATAGGAAGGTTTAATCTCTTTCTAAGAAGAATGTGAATGTATTTTGCTCCAAAATATTCTGTTATTTTTTAAAGAACAGAGTTTTCTATGGGAAATTTAGTGTTTTAAAATACAGTTACTCTCACAGGATTAAGAGCAGAGTATGAAGTAAAGTAAACCCACTTTTTTATTCATAAGGAGACTTTATATTTGTTCAGGTTGTGGTTGGAAACTGAACAGTATCAGAATCCTGCATGGAGATACAGTCAGACATGTCCAACCTGTAGTTCAGGATAACTATGGCTGGGGCCCAACACACCGTTATAAATCACTTAAAAAATTATGAGTTTTTTGCCATTTTTTATTGTATGGTTTTCATCAGGTTGCAATATTGAAAGTTTGGACATGCCTGCAGAATGTTGGGTGTGTTACTTATCCAGCAAACCATTCTGGTCAAGATAAAGTTGAGAATCTAGACAGAATTTCATTTTAAGGTCTTTTAAGTAACAGGGTGGATTTCATGGTCTATATATAAAAGTTCATTGGCTTAACCATTGGCAAGTCCCTACCAGGACAATTCTGTAAAGCTATTTTTGTCTCAGTCCACAGCAATTAGAGACAGAGGGGGAGAAACCTGTTGGAGGAAATGGTAAATGAACAACTTAATACTGAGGAGGGAGAAAGTTTTCTTTAAAAAGTAAAGGTCAGTCTGTAAATCTTAACAAGCATTATATTTGGAACTTACTGACAAATTGTTGACATACTTTTAGCCCTGGAGCTTGACTTGCTGTGGTTCACAATTATAATCATGACTCAACAAGAGGATGGTAAATGTACTGATTTTGCTCTATTTTAAAAGGTGAATTGCTTGTAATATATTTTAGAATAATTTTTCCGAAGTTGGATACCAATGAGTGAAATTTTGGGGCTCTCACACTAGAAGCCCCATGCCAGTCTTCCTCTGAGGGAATGTCATCATGGCCATGTTTCTGTTCTGTCCCCTAGCTGGTTTGATCAGCCCTTGGAACCTGCCACTCTACCTGCTGACATGGAAGATAGCTCCAGCTATTGCTGTGGGGAATACTGTGATAGCCAAGCCCAGTGAGCTGACGTCTGTAACTGCATGGATGATGTGTAAACTCTTGGATAAAGCAGGTAATTAGGCATGGGGACCAGGGAGGAGGCACAGAGCTAGACTAATGTTATGTTAGGTAGATACCTTCTACTCACAGCAAAATCAATTCCATGATTTCTTTTTACTTTGCCTGATCCTTTTCTGGCCACCCTCTTCACCCACAGCGGGGCTCTCTCCTATTGCACCTCCCTTCTTTAACACCAGAAGGGTTCTATTGCAAAGAAAGCGCCACTCACAGGATGGTGGCATTGGAGTAAATATTGCAGACTTGGAGCAGCCTGGTCAAACCTAGGATACCAGCTAGTTCAAGAGACATCAATAGTCATTTTAAATTTAGGTTTGAGCTATATATAATCTTGATGGAAATTAGGTAATGTTTGTGTATCTGTATAATACTGAGTATATACAGCCATTTTCAAGGGATTGAATTTCCCCTGTTATTTGGGACCACTACTTGGAAACTGGTGTAATGTTGTGTATCTGTATAATACTGAGTATATACAGCCATTTTCAAGGGATTGAATTTCCCCTGTTATTTGGGACCACTACTTGGAAACTGGTAGGATGAGGCTTCTCACCAGCATATCAAGATCTACACAATGGCTCCTCTTTTCTGCTAATAGTTTAATGGTCACAATTAGACTGCATTCCTAGTTCTGTTTGGGGCTATAACTGCACAGAACAGACTGATGCTGCCCGAGTGTTTAAATTCAGCAGGTAACCCGGAAAAGATCTCTCTGTTAGGCTCCTTAGCTCACATTGCCCCATGGCTAGGGTGGGAATGATGGCTGGATATTGGGGATATACTTACCACCCTTCTGTCTGTATCAGCTTCCACTGTGCTTACCACCTTTTAGCACAGCGAAGACACTGAGGGGCTCTACTGCCTCCATAGAATGGGCAGCAGGTAGGAGCCTATCTGCCCCCCTTCCTAAGCAAAAATGTTAGCTTTTAGTGAACTTTAGCTAGTTCTTTAGGAGTTTGATCGTATGTTAAAACAGGTCTTCTGTAGAGAGTGACATTGGTCTTCATGGCTCTAGGAATGAAACCTCCCTGTATATAGGACTTTGAGATATCAAATACGGATGCCCAGGCCACTAGAGAATGGAGGATGTGAATGTCCTTACTTCTCCCATGTACCAGAATGTGCTGACCTTTCCTCACAAAACAGACTGCATTCTTTACAAAACTGAGTTTTTGATTACACCTGGGTACAAGACATTTCTTCCTATCTTGGTTACTGCAGGTTCTAGAGTGGGGGCAGAATAGGGACTGCTTAGTCAGCTTCTTGTTGCTATAACAAATATTTGCGATAGGTCAACCCTAAATGAATAAAGGGTTTATCTTGGCTCACAGTTTTGGAAGTTTCCATTCATGGTCAGCTGGTCCTAATGCATTTAGATCTGTAGTGAGGCATATCATGGTGGGAACATGGGGCAAAGGAAACTGTTCACCTGGTGATGGGAACGGAGCAAAGAAAGAAGAAGAGGGGCCAGGGTCTCCATATTTTCCTCTAGGCCATGTTTCTAGTGACTTGACTTCTTCCTTCTAAGCCTCACCTCTTAAAGGGTCCATCACCTCCAGTAGCTTGATGGCCTGAGGACCAAGCCTGCAACACACGGGCCTCTGGGGGACCTCCCAGATCTAGACAGAGCAGGGACACTCACTCTGCTTTGATCCTAGGTAGGGACAGGAACATATGAGAGAGGAGTGGAGCAATGCCCTCCTGAGCATTTGCTCCAGAAACCAAACAGGTCTTGATCTGTGATGAAATCTCTTTTCTGAAGCACTCTCTGGCACCTGTCTATGTGAGTTTCCCATTTCCTTCAAGTTGCTCAGCATCGCCCTCCTATGTAATAGCTCATGGGCTATTACACCAAGGCAGCCTTTCTCCTCTCTCCTCCTGGGCTGACTTTGCCAGCTCCCCCCCCGCCCCATGAACGTTGTCTGGAATGCTGCTCAAGCTGAACCTCTTTTCAACCCTTGGTTTCCTTCCGGCATTGAAACGATGTATGAATCACATATATGAAATTCTGCTTTACTGCAGTGCTTCCATGAGCATGGGGGCGGGGGAGTGAAAATAACTGATAATACAGCCTGTGTGTTTACAGAGTTAGGCCTTGTAGCCCCGTACATTTATACAAACTTCATAGATGATCTTCCTGTAGAATAAAATCATTAAGAAGTACTCAGGAAATACCTCTCTAAGAGTTCTAGGGCATCGAATCTCATTTCTTGAGAGTCTACTGACTGGGCCTTTCCTACCTTACATTTAATTTTCAGTACTTTTTAAATAAATTTATATTTTAAATTCTTTTTACCTTTCCACCAAACCTTACCCTTTGGAGGCTTTATTCCTGTGTGTTCGTGTCTTCCTGACTCTTTTCTTAGCTACTTACTCTGGATTTTGTGAAGTTTCTGCCTGTCAACTAAACTGCTTTCATTTTATTCCATGAGAATTTCTTAAGAACAGAGAGGGCAGATACCTGTACAAAAATTTTGTGAGTATCTGGACCAAATGACAAAATGATACTGAGAACTCATGACCAGCTGCAACCTCTTAAGCATATTAACATAAGATTCTAAGGAAACAATGAGCATGTTAATACGGTGCATGGAGAGTAATCAGTCTGCTGGAATGAGCTCATTTCCCCGTGGTGAGAAATAGGTGGTGTTCTTGTGTTTTTCTCATCCTCTGCTAAAACCTCACAGTGAACAGTAGAAGGAATTCAGTTCATTTTTGCCTTCAGGATTTATAAACAGTCCCTCCTTCCTGTCCTCACTGTCCCATCTACCCAGGATATGACCCATATTTGGTGGAAGTGCAGGGCCCTATCCAGGATATGGTGGAAAACCTGTCCTTGTTTTCTCCCCATCAGTGGCTCTCTAAACAGATTCTTTTTTATCCCAACTCGAGGTCCAGGTGCCTCTACATGGTGTTGGGTACTCCCTCTAGCAGTGACCCAAGACCGACTTAAATTAGATCAACGAATGCACACAATAAAGAGAAGTGAGGCTTTGTCATGTATATCAAGGCATTGACTTCCCATCTGTCTCCTTAAGGGATCTGCTGAATGGGTCTTCATTATCCCCTCAAAGTGACCAAGCTTATGCTGTGGCTCTGTGGAAGGGGTTTCTTGATGGTACTGGATCACTAATGTGAAATTATTATTTATACATTAAGATCAGATTATTGAAGAATTTGTTTGACTCCAAGAGAGTGTGTTTCTAAGGAGGAGAGAACGCCTAACCTGGGGGAAGGGGAGGAGCTGGGAGTGGTGAGGCTGTTCCAGAAGCTTCTCACGGACTTCTGCACCTGCTACTCGTCAGCTGAGGAAATGGAATGAATCCAGTGTACTCAGGAAAGCCCTAGAACCTCCCAGACACAACACAACTGCATAACATTTCCAGCTTCTCAGATTCACAGACCATTTCTGATTAGAATGCTGAACACCAAGTCCATCTTCATCATCACTCACTAACACTTGTTAACCTGTTCTGGCCAGTTCTACTGATTATTACTTAACTTTGCTTTTGCCTCATTTTTCAAACCAGTAAAGCAAGATTAATACTACTAAGTACTTTAAAGAGTTGTGAGGTCTAAAAATATGTAATGCCCTCTATAAGTGAGGGGTGGATGCCCAATTACTGTGGATAGTGTCAGTCTCTCTATGTACTATGTTCCCTCTGCATATATACCGATGATAAAGTTTAATTTATAAGTTAAATGTGAAATTAATTATAACTAATAATAAAGTAGAAAAAGTGTAACAACGTACCATAAATGAAGCTATGTGAAAGTGGTCTTTCTCTTCAAATGTAAAGACAAATAGTGTTTTCAGACTGTGAGTGACTGGGCAATGGAAATCACAGGAGGCGCATTCATAGATAAGAAAGGACTACTGAAAATTGCTAATGACAATAGTCAACCCTCACTAAACACCCAATAAATACCAGCATCTACTGGTGCTACAGGAGATACAACTGAGAACTAAAATCAAATAGTATTTCTGCCCTTAGCTAGCAATCTTAAGCGGTGGGCAGGCATAAAGAAGCAAATCCACAGGGCTAGGGACATAGTTTAGTCATTAAAGTGTTTGTTGCAGAAGCATGAGGATCTAAACTCAGTCTGCAGGACCCATGTTAAAAAAAGCCAGGTGTGGTGGTATACACTTGTAATCCCAGCTCTGGGGAGGTGGAGACAGGCTGATTTCTGGCACTCACTAGCCAGCCAGCCTAGCTTACCCAGGTGCTCCAGGCTAAGGAAAGACCCTGTCTCAAAAAGGGTGACTTCTGAGGAATGACACAGAGGTTGGCCTCTGGAATCCACACACGTGCATGCACATGCATCCACACAATTACATACTCACATGTACCTGCTCAGATGCCCCCACATCAAAAGTAAATCCAGAAAGCAGGTAAATGATACATGTAAATTTAAGCCTAAAGGGTCTTGCTTATTAAGGAAGCCTGGGGCCCCTATTTTTGGATTTCTTGGCATGTCTTGGCTTGTTTTAGGTTTCAGTGGTGCTATACACATTGATGGTCACAGGATCTCAAGTCAAAAATTACCCTCTCTGGGAAGCCTCCTCCTGCTCCCCTGGGTCAAGATAGCTAATCTCTTTCCCACACATTCCTTTACTAACTCTGTCACCTGCATTGGAACCCCTGGGTACCAAGTTGGAGCAGACCTCTGCTCCTCACTGGACTTGACCTGCCTGAGGATATCTTTGTAGCCTCAGCCCCAAAGGCTTAGTCAGTATTATGAAATTAGTTACCTAGACTATGCTTTATGCTGCGTCTCTCCAGGCCAAAGCACCCAGAGAAATCCAAGTAGGTGGATTCTATAGGATAAGGTGATGCTATAATCTTTGCTTTGCTATTAAACTTGAGCCATTCATAAAAGCTCCAGTTGCTGTAACACCCCAAGTGTTCCCTGCCTTCCAAGCTATTGAACTCCCAAGGAATGTCTCCGTGTCACTTAAGATCCTCAACACACCAAGGAGAATTATTACCACTGATGCTGTTTCTTATCCAGGTGTTCCACCAGGTGTGGTCAACATTGTGTTTGGAACAGGACCCAGGGCAGGTGAGGCTCTGGTATCCCACCCAGAGGTACCCTTGATCTCCTTCACTGGGAGCCAGCCCACAGCTGAGCGGATCACCCAACTGAGTGCTCCCCATTGCAAGAAGCTCTCCCTGGAGCTGGGAGGCAAGAATCCTGCTATCATTTTTGAGGATGCCAACCTGGAAGAGTGTATCCCAACAACTGTTAGGTCCAGCTTTGCCAACCAGGTATGGTTCTCACCTTCTGTGGCTTTGTCAATTTGGTTCTATTTTATCAAAGTCAAGGGGTTTTGGAGGTAGTCAGTTATTTATGTGAAAGTCAGATCAGTATAGTATTATTCTAACATCCATTGGTGGACTGGTACAGTCACAGCTTTTCTTCAGGTTCCTCATATTGAGTCACCCAACTTTCATCAAGTACCAGCCACGGGCAGATTGAGCTTGCTGCTCTATGTTTCTCCATTTCTTTATTCACACAGTTGCCTTTCCCTTCTTGTTACCCACATGTCTTATTCCCTGTAGACTTTATTCCCTCCCAGGAGTGTCCCCAAAGCATTTATAATCTTTGTTCCTACTTCCTGTGACATTCCAGAGCATGTTTCTGAGCGTGGCGTGACAGAGAGTTTCAGGACATCTTTGCGTCTCCTGAAATGACATCACAGATGTTTCTGTGGATTTGTTGTTTTTGCCAGATTCTTCTCAAAGGGTTATGACCAGACCAGATCAACTGGAAAGCAGCTTCCCCCAGATGCCAATGATGCTTGTCTTTGTACAGCAATTTAACATCAGTGCCTAGAAGTTGTGCAGGAGCAACCAAGTGTGCACAAACACTAAAAGATCTGCTCCAAAGGATGTTCAAGAGAATAAAGACTTAGCCAAGGAATCACAACTTCCATAGAGAGGAAGAGGAGTGGAGTGGGATAGATCTACATTTTCCTAACTCAAATAACACTGGATGTTACATAGCCTTTTGAGCTTATTTCTTCACCTTTATGATCATTTGGACAATCTTGCCTTTCGATAGAATTTTGTGAAGGCTGAGTGAAAAATATGGCTTTCATTTATTATTTTCGTGGTAATTGTAAGGATGATTACTTACTTTACCATAATCCCCAAAGAAGATGGCTAGAAATATAGTGTTTGGGGAATCAATAGGTAATTCAGTGTTTTGATCCAACTGATTTAATCATTAAAATTAGCAAATATCAAGTGAAAAATTAAACCAAGTGTTTTGAAGGCTTCAAGGCAAAAAAGAGAGACAAACTGAGAATTGATATAAAGAAACATGAGCTGAGCACTTTGTATTTAAGGGACACAAGCTAAGCAGGGAGACATGGACTATACACTACATCTGTCAGAATCCTGCTGGGATTTGGGTTGGCCCAGAGAACCTTTTTCTTGGGAGTGTTTTAAAGTATCAATAAGGAAAATGATATGGTTAATCCAAGATGGATTTTAGCCAAAATAAAACAGCTTGATTTCTTTGCTTAGTTGGTTGGTGAGTGCCATGCAGAGCATATTTCTCCCTTAATGGAAGATAATTGGCTTTTAGGGATGGAGCGTTAAGCATCTCTGTGTGACCTTGGGTATATATTAATTTTAATGTCCATTTCCGAACTGTGCACTGAGAATGCTAACACCCTATGGACTTATTGTAGAGAAAGCATCAGGCACAATGCCTGGCATGGGATAGAGACTCTGAATGACTTTGTCCTTTGCTGATTCCCATTTGAAGCCATCCTCTCTGGCATCTCGGTGTGATCCATGCTTTCCTAGCACTGAGTAATGAGAAACTTGGTAAAACCTTCAAGTCTGTTTATCATGCCCCCTTTTTGCATGAGACACTTATGCAAATGAACACAACAGGTGTTTGGACATTTTCCAAGTCACACAGGCAGATGGTTTTGATAGTGATTTTGTTGAAGAAAGAATTTATTATTTCAGAACATTAACTGCTTAATTTGGACAATGACCCTTTCTATAGATATCAGGAAAATTAGAAGCATTCTGTTCCCTAGGATTGTTGTGAAGACCAAATATAAAAGTGGTGAAAATTGTTATTAATATTTATGCATTTACATACTTGTCACACATACGTTATCTTTTGAGAGGCTTAAACTGTGGCTTGTAAACTATTATATTCTATATTCGAATGGTAGTCAGGATTGTTTTTCTCTTCAACACCTGGCAGGACCTATCCCCTGAACACCCAGCATCTCTACTGGGTGTCTGTTAGGCATTTGAACTTAGTATGTCTACAGAAGACCTTTTGATTTCCCTCCTGCTCCAGCCCCTGAAATAAGAATCTTCTCCCTGTCTCCTGTCACCTTTCCAGGAAATGCTGTGCCATCCATAGTCTGGTGCAGCACCCGAAGCCTTGTTCTTGTACTCGGTTACCTTCTACCTATGTCTGATACATCACAGAGTCTGTTGGTTCTATTTTTAACATATATTCCAAAACTTATTACTTTTCCAGTCTTTCCACAGCAGTCTCTTATGCTTGTTGAGTATTCCCTGCAAGAACCTAAAACTCTGTAGATCTGTATTTCTTCTCTCCATCTTGGTGGCTGCTTTCTTGGTCCAAACCACATCCCTTTATTTGTGCTTTTAAAATTCTTTTTTCATTCCTCACTCTCATTTCCTTTCATTCTGTTTTCCATACAGCTGAGAGAATAATCATTTAACAATATAAATCTAGGGGCCTGGAGAGTTGGCTCAGTGGTTAAGAGCAGTGACAGAAGAGCACTGGCTGCTCTTGCAGAGAACCCAGGCTTGATTCCCAGCATGCACATGGAGGCTAACAACTGTCCTAACTTCAGTTCCAGAGGATTAGAAGCCCTCTTCTGACTTCTACAGGCACGGCACGACACTTGTGCACTCTCACACATGTATGCAGTACACTCATACACATAAAAGAAAAATAATAAATAAAACGTATAAATCTCAGGGGTTGGGGGGATAACTCAGTTGGTAAGTACTTGTTACATAAGCATGAGGACCTGAGTCTAATCCCTAGAAAGACAACCACGGACTTGGAATCCCAGCCCAAAGACAACCTCCCCAAAGGGAAAGAAAGAAAGAAAACTCAAGGTGGACTGCTTCTGAGGGATTGACTTTTGGCTTCTACATGTACACACATGCACACACACATGCACACACATACACACACACATACAATGTGCATCAGTTCATATCATTCTGTTGCTGAAGCTTCCTGTTTCCTTTCCATGACAGTGAGAATGAAGCAAGCTCCTTATAAGCCTTTGAGAGTGTTGGCTGGCTCACCTCTTGATCTCATCTTCGGCCCTTCACCTGTTCTTGTGACCACCTCCACTCCCATCCTCAACCTATCCGCCTTCTTGGCTTTCAGTCACATACACCAAGCTCAGTCCTACAGCAGATTCCCCACACTTCCTGCAGAAAATTCTCTCCCTCAAATCTTGGCTTGTCCAGCTTCCTCATGCCAATTAATATATCAAATAGTCCCCCTAGAAGTTGCTGCCCACAACTTCCTTTACTGAAATTAGTTTCTATTCCTTCCCTTTGCCTAATCTTCTTCTATTGCTTTGATCACCATCTGAAGTCCCATCATGTGTCAAGCATTTGTTTGTGTTTTTGTCTGTCTTCCGGTGGGACTCTGTGCTCCTCAAGGTTGGGACTTGGTTTTGATTACCACTGGATCCCATTGCGTGGACCAGTGCCAGGTACATGGCACTTGCTGAAGCACAGGGGCATCTATCCACGAAGAAAAATGCACTCAGCTTTGTCATTACCTTCATTCTTGGCAGGGGGAAATCTGCCTCTGCACCAGTAGGATCTTTGTCCAGAAGAGCATCTATTGTGAATTTTTAAAGAGGTTTGTAGAAGCTACCAGAAAGTGGAAAGTTGGCATTCCTTCTGATCCATCAGCTAGCATGGGAGCTTTGATAAGTAAAGCACATTTGGAGAAGGTAAGTAAGCTTTGCCGTGTAAGTTCCAGGAAGCTCTTAAAAAACCTCAGGGGCTAGAGAAATGGCTCAGAGGACTTACGTTCCAATCCCAGTACCCACGTTAGGCAGATCACAAATGTCTGAAACTCTAGCTCCCAGGGATCAGATCCCTCTTCTAGCATCTGTGGACACATGACAGAGACACAGACAGACACACACATACCTCTTCAATGGTTTATTTTCTCTGTGATTATTAGCACCACCCAACATACAATCTGAATTATTTCTTCCCTTATTGATTATACTTTAACCAGAAAGTGGTCAAGTTTATTCATGTGCCCTCAGACTTCAGAAAATACCTGGAGCATGGTAGATGCACAACATTCACTGGGAAAATGGTTCAGTATTGTCCCAAACTTAAGCACTCATTTTCCTCAAATTATTTTTAGTGCTTGGCTGAAAGTACTTGGAATTGGGTCTAAGTGCACAGGTCCTAGATATCTCTCTTGTCAGGATGAATCAGCATGGACTTTAAACGGAAAAAACAAACACAAACACCCAGCCTGTTTTCAAGAAAACACATTTTTTATTATTTTTGAGGCACTGGGTTAACTTATAATTTATTTTACATTATAGTTAGCTATACTACATTACATATGTTTTCAGAGTATAATCAATAATGAAACTAGAAATTGATAATCATTTTTTTCCTGGGAGATTAGCTACCGAAGGGCATCCAGACCTTTGTATCTTACATACCATTCACTTCCACGTCTTAAATATGCTCCTAATCCACACAACACACACAAATATTGTTTTGTATTTAATACACAGTCTACCTGAATGTGAACTTGTTGTTTATTAGCTATATGAACTTTATATACTTTCTGAGACTCATATTATTAGAAAATTGGAGTCAGTGGTGATAGCTGGTAGAGTTTTGAAAGAATTAAGTAATAATACATGAAACCACTTATATTAGTGCCTGGCACTTACATGTAAAATAACTTCCCTGCCCTTTGCATGAGGGCTAAATAGGAAAACTATGGTTGGAACACCTCTGTCCTTGGGCTTGGCAGCTGAGTGATGAGATGACCCCAGATTTCTTAGCAATGGCCTTACATTGCTTTTCAGTTATTAGAAAATACTGATTTTTCTGCTGATATGTGTGAAGCCAAATGGTAAGAGGTTTCTAATTACAGTCTTTGCCTGCTCAGGTGAGAAGTTATGTGAAGAAAGCTCGTGCTGACGGGGCCCAGATTCTGTGTGGAGAGGGTGTGGACCAGGTGAGCCTTCCCCTCAGGAACCAGGCAGGCTACTTCATGCTTCCCACGGTGATAACAGACATTAAAGATGAGTCCTCCTGCATGAAGGAAGAGATATTTGGTCCAGTGACGTGTGTTGTCCCTTTTGATACTGAAGAGGAAGTGATTAAAAGAGCCAACAGTGTTAAGTATGGGCTGGCAGCTACAGTGTGGTCAAGCAATGTGGGACGCATCCATCGGGTGGCTAAGAAGCTGCAGTCAGGCTGGGTCTGGACCAACTGCTGGCTCATCAGGGAGCTGAACCTACCTTTTGGGGGCATGAAGAGCTCTGGGATAGGAAGAGAAGGAGCCAAGGACTCATACGACTTCTTCACGGAAATCAAAACCATCACTGTTAAACACTGACCTTCACCTGTGGGGAAGCTGCGGTGGCTGAGGCCTGGGAGGAGCAAATCAATGTCCAATGCGGTGAACAGAAATCCTTGTGTGTGTTCTAGTCATTTTCAATTTTCAATGTGGAACCAGAACATGACTTCTGAACAGAAAGATACAACAAAGACAACTAACCAACAATCTCCCTACCAAGTTATGCCTTCATAGATTTTCTCCATCATCTTGATTGAATTCTGGGGAATCCCTGCAAATCAGATATTTTCATTTGCAACTATAGGGTTAAAAAAAACCCCCAAAACCCAACAGAGTTAGAAAAGAGTGGGAAGATAACTCAGTGGATAAAGTATTTGCTGTGTAAACATGAGGACCTGAGTTCAGATCCTGACACCCATGTAAAGCCTGGCATGGTAGCACATATATAACCCTTCCCCTGCTAGAACCATTAAAAACCAAACAACAAAAACAAAGCTGAAAAAACATCCCACTCTCGTTTTCTACCTCGAGGAAGCAGTGGGAATGGACTTTTGGCCCCCATTCATTAGCATGCTAATTGAAATCAGCTGTACCCCATTAATCTCCGGGAGTGATGAATGTCTACAGAGCTTGTCAGTGTCCTACATGGTGGGCCATGCTGAACCATGTATATACAAGGATAAAGGAAAACAAACTAGTTATTAATTTCTAGATGAAACTTGGAACACACACACAAAAATAATTTGATTTCCACTGTAATCTAATCAATTCTAATTCTTCCTCAAAAATGCAATAAATATTCAGCAGTATGACATGTAGCTTGAGTTGCCCATTATTCTGTGTCCCCATTCTCTTAGAAAGAATTTTTATTAACAAAAGTATGTTGAGTGCCTCCCTGCCCACCCCCACCCCATCTTCCAAATGACCCCAGGAAAAAACCAAGGTTTACAGAGGTGAACTAGCACCCTCGAGGTCACAAAGAGGGTGTGGGGCAGAGGTGGGATTTGGACCTTGAACTCTTAAAGTTCAGGATTTCTGCACTGAGCTATAGAAGCAGCGAAGCACTTGTAGTCTCAGCACAGATCCTACTGGGTCTTCCTGCCATGTCTCCCTCCCTCTTTGCCTCTCCCTGCCTGCTGGCTCCATTCCATATGGGCGAGGGGCCACAGCAGCCAAGCAAACCAGGAATTTCTCCAGCCCTGCCCTCTCCTCACCATTTGAAGCCATCTGTTTGCTGTCTGACTCCACAGCTGCCTGGAATATTGGAGGCCTCGGTTCAGTTACTGCCTTCTGAACTCTCAATTTATTGTGTAACACCTGACACATAGAAAGGGCTCAAAATGAACTCCTGGATGGAATGAGATCTTTCTGGTGCTCTAGGTCATTTGGTGCGTGGTGTGAGGCAGGGGTTGGTGGTGGGGGTAAGATGAAGCTTCATGATTAGGACTTTAGGTATGTTGACTTATTTCTAAGGGTTGACAAATTTCAGCCAGCCTTTCTAAGAGCAAATGATGGCATTGGGTTCTATTGGTCTCTGGCTTTTATCTCTTCTTCCTTCTCCTTTCTGTGCTAGTTCTCTTCTGTAGCTGAAGCTGTTAACCTGTATTAACTTCGCCCAAGGTGAATTATGAACATAAGCATGGGCAGTTCCAGCAGCTCTGGCCTTTAGGAACCTGCATCTTAGGTGGAAGGAGGAAAGAATGGAGGTTGAGGGTCATAGTTATGGACTTCTTTTATCACCTTATTGAATAGAAATAGGTTGTGACAAAGACAGATGAGTCAAGAAATGTGAATTTAATATGTTACTTAGTTACACATTTAGCCATTAATCCTCTTAAAATATTAATGTAACTTAAAAAGTTGGAAGGTTGAAGGGCTGGTGAGATGGCTCAGCGGTTAAGAACACTGGTTGTTCTTGCAGAAGACCGAGTTTGAATGCCAGCACCCACATGGCAGCTAACAACTGTCTGTAACTCCAGTCCCAGGGGATCCAACAGCTTCTTCTGACCTCCGTGGGCATTGCACGACATGGGTGCACTTACTTTCATTCAGGCAATACATGCATATACATAAAATAAAAATAATAAATAAAATTTTTTAAAAAGTTTAATGAAAAAAGTTGGAAGGTGAAAAGCAGCTGCGATGAGATAGGGTTAGTCTACTGTTAAAAATAGGAAGCTAATATTTGTGATTTGAAGTTGATAAGGTCAGAAATACAGGCATAAATATGGGTAGTTCAATGGTATTGAAAGCCTAAAACTAGAGCTACTTAAGAATGATTATTCTCTGGGTCTGGAGAGGTGGCTCAGCAGTTAAGAGCACTGACTGCTCTTGCAGAAGACCCAGGTTTGAGTCCCAGCATTCACATGGTGGCTAACAACCATCCATAACTACAGTTCCAGGGGAGTCTGATGTCCTCTTCTGATCTCCACAGGCATTGCATGACGCAGGTGCACTTACATACATGAAGGCAATATATGCATACACATAAAGTAGAAATAATAAACAAAATAAAAAGAATGATTATTTGGAATTTAGTGGCATATGGCTATCTATAATCCTAGGATTTAGAAGCTGAGGCAAAAATGATCCCTGTGAACTCTGGGCTAGCTGGGAAAGGGAATGCTTAGCTTAATGGAGAGATAGTTTTACTTTTATTTGTAGATGGTGTGTACTCTTTGAGTTCATTTTAGTTACTTTTAATACATTGTGACCAGCCTTTTTTAGAAAAAGGAATATATTTCCACACTCTTGTAGCAAGCTTTCTCAGGAAGTAGGAATTGGGAGTTTGTATTCTATGTTATCAAGGATATTCCAGGCCTTTCCCTAACACAAGTTGCTTTAAGAGGTCGGAGATTGCCTAGTATCTTGGGAGGCCTAGCACAGCGTAACCGGAGAGAACACTATCCTCCAGAGACACCCTGGGAAGCCTGCCCAGGTTAGGCCAAAGGAGGACAATGTCTTCCAGTGGCCCAGAGTGGCCCTCACTCATTAGAGGACCTATGAGGCGGATCTGACCAATCTTGCCTGAGCGGCAGGAGGCTGCGCTGGGGTTACTCATGTGGAATATTCCCCTTCATTGGAGTCTAGGTTTTTTAAAGAAAACTCTAAGACCCTTTTTTGCTTCGAGTCTGCTTCTTGCCTTGAATTTCCATCATCCTTTCCCCACAGTTGACTATGACTGCATTAAGTGAGTGGATTTACCTCACAAAAATCCTAGGGCCAAGTCCTTCAATTCCTGTCTACCAATGAGGTTTTAGGGGTACAGTTTTGGGAAGACATTATATTCATAAGTATCTAAAGGAAGGCTTCTGGAATGTACCTTGATGTTTGTTGGTCAGTTGAATGGTCTCCCAAACATTCATATGATCAGTCTTGGTAGCCAAGCTGAATAGCAACTGGACAGTGCTGACTCACCCAGAAGCCTGTGCAATTCGTTGTCATCACTACTCTAAGGCTTCTGCCAAATCGATGGTAGGAAGTTCTGGGAAGAGTCATATTTCTGATTGCAGCTGGCCACATGCATCAAGTGTTGGGACTTTGCCTAATCTTGTCTATTGGCCAAAGATGATATACCATCTCCACACATTTGATTATGGCTTTCTCATTCCACACCTCCTCTTATTCCTCCTCCACATACCTCAGTCTAGTCTTACCCATGGAGATATCATTATACTCCAACCTCATAATTGCATTTAATTCCAGTGTGATTCAACACTCTCCCACAAAGCATTGGAAATTACTCACTGAAATATTAAGGACTGGCTATATAAAGTGACTGAATCATAGCAAATTAGATTGCCAGAGATCTTGAGGTCACCCTGTGTAGTTCCTTCCCCTCCCCTAGATGGACAACTGAGGCACAACTGAAGTTCGCTTGTTTGTGGAAGATCTTAGCAAAAAGTTCCATAGTGCAATCGGGATATAGAATGTACAGGATGGCAAGAAATATATAAGCATCAAGAAGCTAGAGGTCCTCTGAGGACAGTGAAAAGAGAATTGCCAATTCTGAGAAGTATTTTAGAGTTCCCACTCCCAGATAGTAAGCAGCTGGCCTCCGTCGCTATGGAAGGGTGAGTTATGGAGGCAAAAATGCTCTTAATCACAACTGCTGGAATTGTATTTATTTATGAATACGAAACACTTCGTTTTAATGTTTTGAGCTCAGACTTAGTGAATGGCAGGAGAGAGCCAAAACCCCTTCTCTGGAGGACTCTAAGGCTAGGTGGTGCTGCGTAGGGGTAGGTGGGATGCTGGGGTGGGAGTTAGCCTTGATTCTATATAATTTTTATGACAGCTTGAGATCTGTGGGGCACTGTGGCTCCAGGTGCTGGCTGCTTGTGTGGGAGCAGGTCCTGTGTGGAGCTCACAGCTCTCTTGCTTTTGTATAACATTAAATGTCCACATGCCAGATCACAAGAACCACCGCTGGAAAATAACAGTAGGAGTTTATGAATTTCCATGTAGGAGATTATCTGATTATCATGAGTCATTCTTGAGAAATCAAAGAATGTAAGAATCACCCAGATAGGTAAAAATGTGAGGATCAGTGCAGTTACTTCTTTGGAGGGAGTTTTGAGCTATTTTTCTGGTGTTTAAAGTCAAAATGCATTCTTTGGAAATCCTTTCTACATTGCTTTTAGGCACTTTTAGAGAAATATACTCCTCCCTTTAACAATGATAAAGCGCCAGACAGCAGTTCTGCAGGGTTATTTATAACTCTCTGGGCTTCTGGCTGGGACTTTGGCTGAGTTAATGGTTCATGCTTGGGCCAAGTTCCATCATCAGGGTAGAAGTAACACTGTCTCTACTGTGCTGGGGAAGTGATACTAAAATGCTTACTGAAGCTTTTACTCTGAGCTGAGACTACTAACCTTCCCTCTCTTGCCCTCCCCAGTACCTTCCTCCATTATCCCAAATAAAGAGACTTCACCTCTCCTGGACAGGGTTTGTAGAAACTGTACTGCACCCTTTCCTCGGCATATATTTAGTGTTTTTCTAATCTTGAGAAAGACCAACACCCTGAACTTTAAAGCTAGAAATAAAAAACATTTTCTGGATTTCATGTAACTGTCAAAAGTGATAACAGCAGAAACGTGGCTTCCGATCAGATTCTCTCCCTCTCTGAACCTTTGCACTGTATTGGTTTTTTTGGGTTTTTTCTTTTTTCCCTTTTGCACTGTATTGTTTTATAGAGACTCTAACATCCATATGGTATGATAAAGCGAGGGTGTCTGATTCTGCCTTTTCTGTGCTGTTCATCAAGAATCACTATCATCAGCAAAGACCTGGACAGAAAGAAGGCTGTATACACCTAAATAATAAACACATCAATGACTTGGGATTGTTCAACATGTTCACCCCTCGCTCACCTCCTCTTGACCACAGAAAATGCCTCTCTTTATCTTGGCATGCATGTTTTGAGAAAATGATTTAAATGTTGGCAGCAATAAGAAGTTTTTAATATCTTATTTTGATTCCTTGAGAAGTCAACCACCTAGAAAACAACATTTCTTTTCTATATTCTGAGAGATCTTAAGGCGTTCTGGATTTGATTTTTTCCTTTTGATAGTTTATGTATTTTGAAGCATATTTAAACATCATCTCTGAGCATTCCAAAGCGTATCTGAAAATGAGTTCCAACATTCCTCCAGTCTACACAGGTACAGGCTGCCTGAGGGCAGGGATGACTTTTTATGTTAGATAATGTCAGGGCTGTGTTTATGGCTACAGACCTCAGTTCAGTGTCTTCGAAGAGTAGGGACTGTACAAAACTTTGCTGTACCAAATTTCATAAAAGTCAGAATCACTGTACGAA